ATATAAGCAAGCACACATCAAAACTACCAACAAACTAGTTATTACCCAGCGTCCAGTGGAGGGCAAATTAAGGTTATATGTATTTAAATATTATTTGGTTTTGTATTTACTTAATTATTCATGCAACTATGAGAAGAATTAATAGAAATATTTGAATCTATTTATATAAATAAAAATGAATTTCCGTTTGTTAGTCCCACTAAAACTGGAAAACGGCTGAACGGATTTGGTCTCTAATTTTGGTCTTGAAATGTTCGTGGAAGTCCAGGGAAGGTTCAAAAGGTGAGATAGGATAGAATGATGTGAAGTTTGCTGGGTCAGCTAGTTATTTATATAAATGCATGGCGATAAAAGTCTATTCTCTTTCGCTACTTATTTCCTAGATATTCTTGGGCTATGAAAACATTTCTATTTGCCGCGATAAACTCGTATCTACCAGCGGTATTGGATACTACCCTTATCGCAAACAGTTCTAAGTTCAATAATAACAACTGTTGGTACCTAATTAACTATTTGCTAGTGGCGACGAAATTATTTACAAATATCATTAAGTATATACATCCTGCATTACGAAACAAATAACTTTATTTAATCAATCAATAATGACTGCTTGTAGACTGAATGAATAATAAATTATGGTTTGACTTTCGATCATTCACATCAACAAAGTCATATAAAAAATCCTTCAAGATTTACTATATCTCAAGACTTTATTCACAAAGAATCAGTACCAATCACAGTAAAGGATAATTAAATGACACTACATGCGTATCATTATCACCTTAATGAACTACTGTGACTTTAGTTGGTTTACCAAAGTTCCCCCATGAACGCTTAACATTGAAAATTGTCCACATCCTATATCATAGGGACCATAAAAACTGGACAAGTCAATTGGGTTGAACGACCTACCCATCGATCGAAGAACACTTGTATTGAACGTTTCTTAGGTGACCTAAGTGCTGTTATCACCTATTTCTCGTATCTTGATAAGAAGCCACATTATCGTATATCCGGGAAAAGTAGAGGACACTAAGATATAGTAATTTTGCAATTACATACATTCTTGAGTGTGTAATACATATAATTATCTAATTTATTACGAACTTCGTACTTCGATATTATATATCAATGTCTTTATAGTTTTGCAGCATTCAGAATCATGAAATCTTCTAAAGGATTTTTATACTCTAAGGAAGGAAACTATGAAATTATGAAATAGGATAACTAAGAAAACTGCCTCGTTGGCCGAGTGGTCACAAGTGCGACTGCTGGGCAAGAGATTTCGGGTTCGATTCCCGGGTCGGGCAAAGTACTGGGTTTTTAAAAATCTCAGTAGTAGCATTGAGTCTGGAAAAGTGCCCGGTATATGGCAATAGGCTCACCCCCTATAACATGGGACTCATAACATAAATAGTGAAAAGTGGGTGTTACATTGTACAGTGGCATTAAGTGCCGTAATGTGCACCTCTGCCTACCCCTTCGGGGATAAAAAAGCGTGATGTTATGTTATGTGTATGTAACCAAGAAAACCATGAATTGTCACATTTTACTGGTGAATAAACACAAAGTGTGTGGATAACTGGTGAATAGTGAGGGTTAGTTACTAGTCTTAAGTTTTAATATTTAGTAATAGAATGGTGTGAAGAAAACTAAAATTCGTGATGAAATAACTTTAAATAGCTTGAATTTAAGAAAGTAAACAATAATAGTTTTTCAAAAAGTAACTAATTAGTACAAAATTTTACCAAACTTATCTACTCAATAAATTATGAAAAAATGTGTTTCTATATCTTATATTTAAATCCCTTGTATCCAAGGTTGATAAGCTGATAATTATTGTTAATCTACGGATAGGAATAGATTAAGGTTTATATTCGAATGTACGCAATTGAAATGATGTGTGTACTTACTACAATATATTGAATACTTTGTAATTGGGTTTATTAATATTTGGGTCATATGTTAAGAAATACCTATAAAGAAACTGGAAACTGATATAAATGTGTTTAGTAGAATATATTAACGATCAAGTACCTAATTGTTCTTAGATATAACAAAAAAGATGAAAATAATTCAGTCAGTATACAATATTACCTATCTGATGTTGTCGATAAAATTACACATCAAAATTATTTAATTTGAAAAGCTTTTTTACATATTTATGACGTTTTAGCTATTTGCAAATGATGAGGGCTTAAAAAATGTTAATGAGTTTCATAAAATGATGAATTTAGGACTTGAAGATAACTACTACCTACTATATATTTTACAGAATGTTATGTAAATGTATTATAATAATAAACTAATTACCCACATGTTTGTGTGTTTTGCAGTATGTTTACAGGTCGAGCAAAAAGTGAACTTGACTCGTAAGTCGTAACCGTTATGATTATGATGTAGCAATCGAGTCAAGGCGAAGTACTCAATCGATATATTGTGATTCAATCGATTATAATCGATATAAGAACCACTTAGAGTGCCAATAAGTGTTTGTCGATTGCAACCATTGACCTTAGGAAAGATTTGAGTTCGTGATTTTGGTTGAGAATTTGCAAGACTTGTTTATAAATATAGAATGGTGGGGAAAACCTTAGAATCATTTACTTGTTTTCCATTTTTAGTTTGAAATAAGATAATGTTTATTTCTATCGATGTCTGCTAAAATATTTATAGCAAATAGAGATTCTGTATCAAGGTTTAAAATTAAAATGTGAAAAATTAAATAAATCATAGTTTTAGGTGTGATGCGGAAACGCAATAGACAAAGCTTAAAACATTAATTTGATAGAGAAGCTTAAATATTGGATTGACAATAGTATAAGAATCTTTCAAGGAAAGATTCATTAATATTACTACGAATGAGGAAGAGCTTAGACTGAAACACAGTCTAGATACAAAAGGATATTAGGTACTCATAACAACATAACATAACATCACGCCTTTTATCCTCGAAGGGGTTAGGCAGAGGTGCACATTATGCCAATATACAATGTAACACCCACTTTTCACTATTTATGTTATAAGGTACTCAATTAACCATATTCGTATAGCTTCAAAATCATACAGTAACCAGGACAAACATGACTAAAATCAGAAATTATGAAACGGAAAAAACCTTCGTTTGTGTTACCATATGTTATGCACTATTATTTCTTCATAACATCGCGCCTTTTATCCCCGGTTTTAAGGGGTAGGCAGAGGTGCACATTATTCCACTGTACAATGTAACACCCACTTTTCACTATTTATGTTATGAGTCCAATGTAATAGGGGGTGAGCCTATTGTATTTCTTTATCTACACTATTGCCATAAAGAAGAAAATTATTGATTGTTTGTTAATATTGAATTCACAATTGAATAGCTTACTTTTTCATAAAGTGACGTAGCTCTTAGGCTAATTTTGTTTGCATCTATTCAAGAGACATCCTCTGACGTAGCTAGATGCGTGCCATGCTCTATAATTATTGTCAATGTGGTGTCCCAGTAACTAAGTATTACCCACGAATCCTTCTATAAACGCATTTCCTCTTCAATAATTATATCTATTGATTACCACACGAGTATAATCTTCTAGTCTTTCATTGATAAATGTGACAAGGTCTGACTTTGAAGTCATTTTCATCAATTATTTTTAATTATTTCATTGTCTTGTAGAGTACATTATTTAGAAACTAAGTATTCTTGTATTTTATGCGTTAACAAGCTTTGAAAAATGGCGGACATAGTCTTTTGAAACAACGACTGTGGCACCTTTTTTTTAAAGGGGGAAAATCATCGAATGACTTCTCCTGCTTAGGTGAGGTAGGGAGTGTCAGGCTCTTACTGACTAAAACCAACCCGTTCCAACGCCTGCCCTTCGAGCCGGAGCCCCGGTAACCCACCTGGCACCTGGCTTACTATAGCGTTACACACAGAACATAAACACATTGACACGATGGGCATCTGACATTTTCTTAAGTTTGGTAATGTGATAACTCATTACATCAACACAACATTTTGGTGCTTCAATCATTTCTAAGTGACATATACCTTATTCGACGTACTTGAGTGTCAAGTTTATGTGAGCTTTTCATGGATTGACAGATCAGACTCTTACTGACTAAAAACCACCCCGTTCCTACTCCTGCACTTCCAGCCGGAGCCCCGGTAAACCGTTAAGTTCTCCGCGAATCACACTTAATGCCTATAGAAACATTTTCTGTGTACACTGGGTTCAATTCCATAACCATAGCCGAAGTAAAGTGACCATGAATAGACATTTTTCTTGACACACTGAGACACTGAGTTCGGGTTGTAAGATAATAAAGATTAAAGTACATAGAACTCTACAAGTCTACCTACTACAATAAAATCAGGACGGAAGCCCAAGTTACATTTATTACTCAGCTGTTTCCTTTTAAAATAAATCCGGAATTAAAACCACATTATTTATTGAACGTAAAATTAATTTATAAAATATCTTTCCTTCAATATTGTGTATTATGTCCGTTCTCTTGACTTCTATCTGTCTAAAAAAAAAATAAATAATTGTTTACATTGTGATATATACGCGATTAGCTCATGTTGTCATTAAGTGGCAATTATGCTTCCTAGCACCATGTTTATTTATACAGACAAGATTATTATATATATGTTAACTTCGAAACAAACATTGGAACAAAGACGCTAAGGTATTATTGATATTTTATTATCATGTTACTGACGATATAATCACAATAAGTACAGATAGTTCGCGTTGCATATCGAATAACTTTATCACGACTTCTTGTCACTATTTCGATAGGTACGCACTTTGTTTAGGTACTCTGTAATGTTATTGATCTGTAGAGAATAGTTCAACACATTTAATTGTAGAGTGGTTACAAAAACTTTTCATTTGTGTTTTTGTTCGTTAGCCTGAAGTAAGTTACATTTGTTAAGATATAAGAGCGCGATGTCACTTTTCACAGATCCAAGAACACCTTTCGGAAAATAATACATAACAAAAGTTGTTTACCTTTATTTATTCCCAATTTGACTGTGCATGTGATATTGCTGAAATGTATGTCCACTGGATCAACTTTGGGGACCATGTGAAGACCCTGCGCAGACGCAGGGTTCCAGTCAACGGACTGTGCTTCCCGGGATGAACCTTGTTCGGGAGGCATCGCGGCACTAGTCTCGGTATTCCCAGATTTCCCGGATGTATACGCTACACTACTTTCGTCAACAATCTGCGCGCCGGCGAGCATCATTTTGATCGCGAAGTACGTTCCTTCGACTCAAGTTCCGCGCGTGCGCGCTACGTTACGTCGCGCATTCAAGTGCGCGCGCGCTTCGCTCCACCGCGAAGTGGACTATTGGAACCCTTTGTCCGTAGCCGGTAAATAATTGCACACGCATTTGTTTCATTACACGTTAATTTGTAAATGAGTGTCGGACAACACTATTAGCGTGTACGTGAGCGTGCGTGCGTAAGTGTGCGTACCGGTAGAACAATACCCTTTATTGTAACGTTAGTGCGTTACTCGTAATTTTAATGTGCTTGGAGACAAAGATGCGTATTTCTTCCTAAAATTAAACACACAACAGATCCCTTTAATTATTGAAAATAAAGTACAAACAGTGCTTTACTCGTGCTTGAAGGTCTAATGATGACATATAGGAGTTTAAAAATACCTCTATTACTAGTCCCAATTAAATACCTAATCGGTACTAAATTCCTCACATTTTTTTTACTTTAATAAAAACGAAGTACTTTGTTAAATTTATTTTATACGGAATAGAATGAAAACTTGTTGCGAGGAACAAAAAATACCCACATGACTTGTCAGGGTAAATTGTATGGTAGATTACCGTTTAGAACCAGTTCTAGGATTACTAAGGAATTTACTTTATGAAGCAGTTTAGATAAATTAGATAAATTTCCATAACTTTAATAGTAGATAATCTACTAACCTAATTAAGTATAAGTAGCCTACACAAAAAATGTTGAAGAATTTAATTAGATATGAATTACTAAATTAGTAGATATCGGAAAAGAGAATAAAAATTTTAAAATCTATTAACTTGCACATCTTTAAATAACAAAACGTTTCAAAAAATTACCATCATCATTAATTTTGTTTTATGCTGCTAATTTCGGTGAATAAGGGGGAAACGACCTCAGAAAAACATATTGGCAACACTAGCGCCATCTGTGTATTAGTTTAGGAACTATACATATATTTACTTGTGCAATACATAATGTAGTTCTTATGTAAAACGGTAGATAGCGTAACTGTAGAACCATACATACATTTTTAGTTCGATGAGGTAAGTAGAGATGGCGTTCTTCGGTTATTGGCTTTAAAGATCTATACTATTTTAAGTTCTTAAAGTCGATAGATCGCTTTCTTGGCCCTTACTCTAATGTGGATATCAATGGCATTACCATTAGTGAATATTGTAAGAAGTAAAATATCAATTTAGTGTATAGAAACAACCGACGTAGAGAACGTCGGATTTATTAACCAAGTGTTCCGTACGTACAAGGCATAAAATTATAAACAAACTTCCTAGGTATCAAGAGTCCGTGGTCCATAGTCCATGGTACAAAGTTACAAACGTTTACCTACTTAAGTATAAAGAAATTTAACTTAACTCAATACATAGATACCTAGGTACCTAACTCTTTCTTTTTAAATAATCTTGCTTTTACGATATTCATATGTTTACTTTTACAGATGCTGGATCTGAAAGTAGTTGGAGAAGGCCTATATGGAGCAGTTTGGGCTCGCTGCCATTGCAGCGGTAAGTCCCCTCTTTGAGGAGTGGCTTGAGAGACGCTACGGCGTCCTCACCTACCGCCTGACGCAGGTCCTCACCGGACATGGAAGTTTCGGGAGGTACCTGTGTCTGATGGGGCGGGAGGAAACGCCCGGGTGTCATCACTGCGAGGACCGCCCTGAGGACACGGTGGAACACACCGTAGCGGAATGCCCTGCGTGGGCTGAGCACCGCCGTGCCCTCAGGGATCGGCGATGGCGACCTCTCGCGTCCGGGCCTAGTGCAGGCCATGATGCGGAGCGAGGGGGACTGGGATGCCGTCTCCTCCCTTTTGCGAAGCAGTCATGCTAGCTAAGGAGGCGGGACGCGTGAGGCAGCGAAGCGCTGCCTCCACTCAACCCAGCCATCGCGAAGGACACAACCGGGCGTCGGGGATCGCGGGACGATCTCCGGCCACCGTAAGCGCGGGCCTGCGGACGGCGAGCATGGGTGGCTCCCCGTCCGACCAGAAACAGACCCGAGCGTACGGCGCGTCGCGTTCCGCGCGCGCCTCAAAGGGCCATCAGACCACCACAGATGGGGCCCAATAGGGCCGATGCCGATTCGGAGTCGCGGAGAACCTAACGGGTAACCGGGGCTCCGGCTCGACGTGCAGGAGAAGGAACGGGGTGGTTTTTAGTCAGTAAGAGTCTGACACTCCCTCCGCCTCACCCAGGCGGGAGCAGTCATTCGATGATTTTCCCCCCTTAAAAAAAAAAAAAAATATGGAGCAGTTAACGCCTTGTGTCTTTTTTTTTTTTTTATGGAATTGGAGGCAAACGAGCAGACGGATCACCTGATGGTAAGCGATCAGCGCCGCCCATGGACACCCGCAACACCAGAAGAGTCACAGGTGCGTTGCCGGTCTGATCTGGTGATGACTCTTGAGAGCATTATTCCGTTTCTCAACTTTTAACTGTGAGTCGTGAAGAACTTAACGGTTTACCGGGGCTCCGGCTCGAAGTGCAGGAGTAGGAACGGGGTGGTTTATAGTCAGTAAGAGTGATCTGTCAATCCATAAAACCCTCACATAAACTTGACACTCAAGTAAGAAAACAGTGAAAATGTTATGGAGATGTTGAATGTTTTGTTGAATGAGTAGACAACCGATCGGTATGAAGGTTTAATAGCTACTAAAAACAATATAGTAAAATGTAATAATTATAACTTAACTAAACTGCAACGTTTTATTGAAAATGGGTTGATTAGGTAGCGTAACAATGTATAGCGTAGCTCGTACACATCCTAATATAAAAAAAAAAACAGTAAAAAATAGGAACTATACACTATATAAGAATATAGTTATTAATGCTTGTATCAATCATCCGTTAGATCTATTTAATAGTAGGCACGCGACGCGTCATTTCACATCCTGCTTCACTTATAATCGTTTTCTTGTTTACTGTTAAAAGTAGTCTAGGTATGGTACTACTTAAGCGAGTTTTTATAGTATTGGTAAATGCACGTCACGAAAAGTACGCTTGGTAAAATTGTTAAAAAACGTCCCTAACATTCCCACAATAAAAATACGAATTAAAATACGTGAGAATATTAAAAGTTAAGACAACGTTTCCCAAATGGAAGTAGTAAACAAGGAATTTCCAAAATAATGCACAAAATGCGAGATTTGGTAAAATGTCGTCTAATTGCGAGTGCTCTGCAAAAGACCTATCTTATAAAAGACCGAGCAATAGCGTCTGATCAACCTGACTCTGAAAGATTCGGTCTTGTTACCTCCAACCCAGCCTACGCCTAATTACGTACCTACGTTGATACTAAAATCTGCCATCTGTCAATGTTATAGTCACAGACAGTCGATGATCAACCAATCATCTCATCAGGCATCTGATTGCTTCAATCACAAAGACCAAAGAAGTGAAGATCACATTGAACAAAGTACACTAGAAAATCGAGACTCACCTGTTTTTATTTTTTGAAATATCACGACGTATCTAATACATCATTTTGGGAAACACTGATTTAGGAGGTAATGGCTACATAAGCATGTTAATTTATCTAACTTCACATCGAATATATTACACTGTTGTCTAATTTACACTATCTCTTGACAGTTTTATGGGCTCATCCATTTTACTTTGACGTTTGCGACTTAGGATTGCGTGCCAAAATCAAAATGGGTACCACGTACCAATGTCAAAAGTCTCACCTACCTTTTTTATCATTTAAGTAATCGAATATGTAAAACATGTATAGATAGAGTCACCGACATTATGTGCCGAAGTATTAAAATTAAGTCAGGCAGCAAATGGTTATTATAATACCTATATATGTTAAAATAGGCATAAATATTACTGGAAAATAAAATTACCGGATTATCGGCTTTTACAATTTGTTTAAGCAAAACATAGAATACCATTTACATACCATAATACATATTTAAATGAGTACTTAAAAACCGAGTGAAAGTACTCTAAGTTACAAACGATTAAGTTATAAATTAATACACTTCTATGATGAGATATTTCTTTAATTACAAAGAAATTCCCATCATTTTAATTACCAACACAAAATATGAATTAACCAATACAATGCACTCATCCTACGCAAATGCATTCGGCAATCGAATTTATTCAAATAGATTGTATGTGCACACATGTCACAACGCAACGTAAGTATGTGCAAGTTTAGGAAAAATATTTCGTCAAAAACAATTGTTTAAACACCTTCCTTAAACACAAATGTCTTTGTAAATGCCATTATGTAACACGTCCTGTTATCACTATCAATTATTATGTAATTAATATTACTTTACCATTACAATTTGATATTCTAGAGATTTTGATAATTTTATTATTTTTTGATTGACTAGGTATAGTTTACGTATCTTGATGACATTTAGGAATTCTCTATCTCTTATTCTATCTCACATGCACTGCTTTTTTCTCTTTGTTCATAGATACCTTTCATCTTTTCGCTGCATATTTCGTGATAGCGGTGATTTCGGTTCTCGATATCGACTTCATTCTTCGTCACAATGATTCAGTATGGTTCTTCGCTGTCTCAGCATCTTACCAAGATACCTTATCTAGTGCTTATTGGTGACTTTTTTCCGTGTGAAAACCTCTATGGGCTAATTGCTTAATGTTTATTGGTATCTTTACGTAAGTTATTTCCCAGATTATGAATTTTATTTCCTTTTCAATTTCCTAACGCATATATGGATACGGTGAAATAAAACATCGCGTGGAAACCTGGTCTTATAATTAAGTTTGAAATCGCCAATCCACCGTGATCAAGGATAGTGAATGATGTTCATACTCTTTCCGTATGAGAAGAGGCATTTGCCCAGAAGTGGATCGTTGGCTAGCTGGTAGAGGATGTTGATGTGATATAGGAACAAAATGTCATAAAGATGTTTACGAAAATCTTTATGAAACCGAATTCATAATGATATATCATCATAATTATCATAATTATAACACTCTTTTGCAACACAAGTAACTGCTAGTACATAATATCGACACAGCGGGTCAAGATGTCAATAGAAATAGATAAACCCAATCGATATGGCTGCATGACCATTGCATGAGATGATCTACGGTTAAACTGATCGCATGTATATTTACATCCTCTTTGAAATTGTCTACTTATGTAGTTACGTATGAGTTATTCTAAGTCTATCTAAGAGTGATAAATGTGATAATATTTTGATCTAATTGGTATCAATGGCATCGAATATTGACACTGTTTTCGGAGTATATAGAGGAATATTAAATTGACGCAGTTAAAGTTTATTCAGTTCAGAGTGTACTAAATTAAAATGTATGCAAACATTTCGTCACGCCCAGTCTCCCAAAAGGATGTGAATCAAATGCCTCGTTCTGGGGATATCTCTATCTATTAGATACTTTTTCAACTTTCATAAACGTCTTCATGCATGCTTGCCGATCTAGGATATTCTTAATTTGGCTCTTCTAAAGACGTTTTTGTCGACGTTGAATTATCTAATTTATTCCTTTAAATCATTTTCTACATTTTACCACTACTTCTGCCGGGTGCCTCACCGATATATTATTATAGATATGATATTAATATGACTTGATATAGAATTACGCACAATCTGGATATGGAAACCAGTTTGCGTCTACGCACACTACCTACGCATATAAGGTACATTTTAGAACAAGTATCAGTTTTTTGTTCGAAACCTACCAACGGCAAGTACTAAGTGACTTTTTCCGAGTTATATGTACTTTCTGAAATTATTTAAACACTACTGACAAACGGTGAATGAAAACATCGTGGATTTAAAATTTATAATTATAAGTTTGAAATCGCCAACCCGCAATAAGCAAGCGTTGTGATCGATGCTCAAACGTTCTTCGTGTGAGAAGACGCTTCGCTCAGCTCTAGGCATTTATAGGCCGTTGATAATGATGACGATGATCAGTATTTTAAACAAACTGCTGAATATTTTAAATAATGTACTTCGAAAGTTTTTCTGAAGTTTCAGCTATGAGGTAGTAGTTAATATCTATACAAGAAAAATCGTAAGTATAGAGGTAGGTACCTGCTGAGCGTGGGATCTGTCAGTTGTCTGTGTTATTAAATTTTCCGATATTTTCCGCAGTACAAATGCTACTAGAATAACGATCGGTGAAGGACAATACATAAGGTAGCTCCTATCTACATGGGACACATAATATTCAAACTATTTAAAAAAAAATGCCAAGGTTTGATGACATACAGATGGTTCTAACCAGTGCGTTCAACCTAACAGTCTTCAGCTTCAGAAATAACTGTGTCAACTTCGACAATAAGTGAACATTTTATTCAAAGTACTCAATAAGTAGATAAACATCAATTTTATCTACTTATGTGTATATTTCTATAGTTATAAGCTTGTATTATTGATCGTTGCATTGTGACCTTCGGTCGGGTCATACTACCGTTTTCAGTGACCACCCGCTGATGATAAAATATGCATGTGGATATTCAACTGTACGATTAATCAATGTCGAAAAATTGATCTTCATATTGTCGTGTATTTTATGTAGATTTGAAATAGGTAAATTATCTTTATCTATTGTTAAGTAAAAATTTATGTTAATTATTATGTTTTCGGCTTACTCACGTCACTGGAGGAACTCGACTAGTTTCAAGCCATGCTAGAGGCTCATATTTATGAGCCGCATTCTGCGACCCGCGACGCGGCGGCTGTCGCGCTGCTACTGTTTTAATATAAACAAAAATGTATGTCTTGTTCTTGCCTAAATTCAAATCAATTTATTTCATTAAAATTACATCACTTAAAGCCGTAAGTAGATACCAGACCAATAGAATACAAGAGAATGTTATTGATTAAAATTCAATTAAACAATAACAAATAAACTGGTCTACGTTTAATACGGAACAGTAATTAATGAAGACATCACGGTATATCTACCCGACAAGCTCGAATTGAAACAAGTATGAAAACACCCGCGCTATCTGCCCTCAGTGTGGTGGCGACCTCGCGCTGTTTCGCACAGCACGTTGCACGACCGAACGCACGCAACTAACGGTTCACGGAATCCGAATACGAAATTATTTTATTTTTAATATTTCAAATAAAAACTTCTTTCTTTTCTTTTTTTTTCTATACGAACGCCATTTGATAACGTTCGAATTTTAAACTTTCGAATTAGAAATTGTTTTTCTATAAAAGTTGACTTTCGGGATGTGTTGATTTGATTACAATTTGTAATTAAATAAAAAGTTGTGTTGTTATTATTTTAAATTGTTAATAAGTGTTTGTGGTGATCAAAATGGCGAAAGCTATGGCTGTGCTTCAAGGGTTGGGCCATAAAGTAAGTGGCAAGGAACAGGAATGCCGCACATTGCAGGTCAACATGCCATCTCCGAGGCCTGTTGACATAGAATTTAACAACATCACGCTTCAAGTCTCTGAGGGATTGACCTCAAGAAGTAAGTAGTTTAATATTTACAAACAAACCTATAGTAACACACATTTTATTTGCTTAGGTAGAGACCTAAGCAACGAAATGTTATGTCTATCCTGTTCAGTCATTAATTCTATTTTCAAATATTGTTGAATGTTTGTTTTTATAAAATTAGAACTAGGACACTCCTGTTCAAAATTAATAGGGAATTCGTTTTCAAGGCGTTCCAGAATTAATATTAATTTACCTAAAGTAAAAAGCAGTTTGTTATAAATAAATTCGATAGGTACATTTACATTTATACGTTCCTATGCGTAAATTAATACTGTTATTCAAAATTTGACCGTGACTGTGCACTATTTAATAATACAAAAACAATTTGGAATCGCTTAGTCAAATGCTCGCCAATGCGAACGCTTGCGTAGCACGAAGACTCAAATTCGATGTAAAAGGCGCCAATTCGCCAATCTATGAAAAGGGTTTTCTAATTTAATTTTGTTTTGCAATGAATTCAAGCCTCTATAAAGTGCACAGATAATTAATTATATACAAAAATATATATAATAGGTAAAATTGAGATTACTTATTATTTATTTGCACCTGTATCTGAAAAAGAGTCGAATTAAGGAACACTAAGTTTCAATAGGTACCTACACAAAGTCTTGTTTAAAAAAAATCTAAATTCACAAGTGAAATTAGAAATTAGGTATGTGTAGTATTGTGTGTATAAATTATGAAATATACTCTGCTTCACTGATTTTAATGGTCTACTGATGTAGAAACTTGTTATATGATAACTTGATATTCTACAGTAGCTAGCGCAGTCTTCATTAAATTTTTCATATTTCTTTGTATCTTTGAGTAATACCAAAGAAAAGACAGATAAAGGATAAAACAACTTTCCTTTTTGGGCCTCATCGCAGGTCTCCTACAAACAAAGAATCTTTTCACCAAGTATTATTATTACCGGGTCTAGTATATTGTATGGAGATTTTCCATTTTTAAACTTTCATAAAAAAACGTCCTAAACGCTGTTAGCATGTCGCGGAGAACCTAACGGGTAACCGGGGCTTCGGCTCGACGTGCAGGAGTAGGAACGGGGTGGTTTTTAGTCAGTAAGAGTCTGACACTCCCTCCCGCCTCACCCAGGCGGGAGCAGTCATTCGATGATTTTCCCCCTTAATAAACAAACGTTGTTAGCATAGCAAATGACCAAAAAGTTTTGATCGATCTGAAGTTTTACTAAAGTTGTCCTCTTCAAAACATCCTCTTTTTTAAAGATCAGTTAAAAATTTACCGTCTCAAAGGACTACACTGCATATTTATAAAAAGAAGTCTAAAAACCTTTGAGGAGTATCATAACAGTCGCGCCGCAGTGCTCAAGTGAGGTCTACCTACTAAGAACATGATTAAGATAAATAAGAAAAAGTATTTTCATCTACGGATGACGGCAATAACGCCTCCACGTGCAATTGTTCAATAAAACATGGTATACTGTATACTAGCATGTCTGATGTCACAATTAATCCGAATTTATTAAAGGAAATGCAAATAATACTGTAGACTGCTTCGTTGCTCTAGTTTTCATATTTCTGCACGAAGTCGAGATTCAGACCCAAGTAGGCTAATTTGGTGCCCACCCTATGGTCTCAGGGAAGACGGTGGCACAGTGGTCACGTGCCGCCGTAGACAGCAAGGCTGAAAGGAGACACCCGTCTCCCTAGGGATGTGTCGTAACAGGCGTTGCACCGAGGAGGCGCTGGAGCAGGTCTCTTCTAGAGTACCCGGTGCCTCCATTCAGGTGTGGCCACCGGGGTGGTTTTATTGAGGTAAAAATCCCACACTCCCTAGTCTTTTATCCCCAAAAAGGCTGGGCGCCTTTTGAAGTTTCCCCCGTCATCAAAAAAAAAAAAAGTGGCTAATTTATTTATTGATGTTTCGGTGTGAACTGTCTCCGTGGTCAGTGGTTGCATAGTCAACCCAGCTACCCCTTTTGTCAATTTCCAGTTCGAAAAATAGTAAGAATTTTATGAATCCACAATAATAACATGAAGTCTAGAACTAAGACCAATGTCCAGGGTATGCTAAAAGACTTTTTAAAGAAAAAGTTCATTACAAAGCTAATAAAATAGGTGTAGCAATATATGTATTCGAGTAAGTAAGTTTACTGAATGGAAATTTTCACATTTAAATGAAAATTCACTGTGTTCTTTGGGATAAACGAAAACTTTCTTAGTTCAGTCTGTAAAGGTAACTTATTATGAACTAACGCGAATCGAACAACTCACTTCTGAACCTATACATACATAGATATATAGTGTATAGTATAATCTATGTATGTATATCTCTAACAATATTTAATATGATATGATATTATGTTATTATTTACCTGTATGCCGCTGAGATCTGCCTTGACCTCATAAAATGCCGTCAGACCGCTTTCTACGCAGAATCAAAACACGCAGACTAGACATTTTGAACCATAAAGTCTTTCTAATTTGAGAAAGTTCGCTCAAAAATGTATTAAATTCGGACATAACATTTTTGGAACTGAATATATGCTTACTGTCTCGTTGGTCTGATGTTCTCATCTGATTCCGGATTCACGTTAATAATCGAAAATTTACAATAGATATTTGGTTATTTAATTTTATCTTAATATTATCTTTCGAACAAGGCTCTAGACTCGATTAAAACACGTGAAAATTGTAAAAAAATAAAAATTATTTTTCTCAACGCTTATGTTTTTATAAAATGTTTTTTAATGTCATAATGTTTATGACTCTATATTAAAAAAAAACATTTTAATGAATACAAACTTTTTAACAGTTCTTTTGTACTGAGTACCAAAATACTGTTACTATCTTCATTCTCCATATTTATCATAAAACTGCGATGTATCTTTGTAACATAACTTGGTGACACAGAAAGGTACCGCTTGTTTGGTGAAATAAAGCGGTTACAATTAAAATACTGTTAAGTGTTAATTGAGTTAATTCACTAGAATCTGTGTGATTGTGATATATTGTCTCAAAAGGGTTTTCTATTGTAGCGCTAATTGTGAAAGTAATTTTTTTTGTTTTTTTACATTAACACGCATTCCTAAATTGCTGAACCGATTTTGATCGCTACAAAAATAGGTTGAGATAACAAAGGAGTCTTACTCCACCTCTATGTCGTGACTATAGTTGTCTCGTTGGTCATCAGAAATCAGAAGTGAGAATTTTAAGATATACATTGTATTTTTAAAAAATCGAGCCACCAAAATTTTTATCGTTTTGAGTTGTTAACTCGGTTTTTATTTTGTTGTTTTGGTCGTAAAGCCGTGGTTCCTTTTTCGAAATTCTTGTGTCTTAAAACAGGTTTGGATACTTACTGTTTTGTATTCTTGTAGGCATTTATTTCTCTTGTACCCGTTTATGCTGTGCATAGGTTAAGAAAAAGGGCTGTTTTATCTATCTATGTACTTAATTAATGACAATTAGAAAACCTTAAATCATATCATCTATATTTTAATCCTCATTAAAACTTTCTCCAAACATACAAATTCATGTACATATCACACCCAGACTCTGGTAAATTGTGGATTACACAAAAAGTTGTCACATGCCGTGCCGGAATCAAGCCGTTGATAGGTTGCTCAGCAGTTGATAATGACTAAAACTGCAAATCTCCGCGTGACCAGTAGAATTCCCCTTTATAAAATAATGTAAAGGTCAGAATAAAAAAACATAAGTGTAGACTGCGGATACTCAAAACCTAATATGTCAGTTCCTTTGAGGAATAAAAAGCTTAACGTTATGAATATATTTACGAAGGTACCTATACATTTACTAACATAAGAACTGGTTGCACTTGTATATAAAACTAGTTTTCAAAAAGGAAACGTTATGTATAAAATTATGGTTATTGAAATTGAATATGCACACAGTAATCTTTATACACGGTGAAGGAAAATATCTTAGGGAAACTGCGAACGAACATAGCGTAGAATAAAAATGTAGTTTATGAGAAAATAACCGGTTAAAGCGTAACTCGGGAAAACAAAGCCATATATTAGTAGACAAAGCCGAGTTTGTATCGATAAACATCTTGTATTCATTTGAAGTCTTTTTACCCGACTGTAGGGAGGGTATTGTTTTATATCATGTCTTTCTTTTGTTTCGTTTAAAACTACTGTGAAAATGTGTACCGTACCTTAACCTAATTCTGAGTTTTTGAAAATAAAATCCAGATCATAAGACAGTTTTCTTCCGACAAAAAATAGGTTTTGGTAGTTTATGATGATGGAATGTATAAATTAATTGTGTCTAATCACGAGTTTATTAGTTACGAAAAACGAGAATCGTCATAGTTTGGGAAATTATTTCGCGATAGTTTTGAAGGTCCGCAAATAAACTTGTTGGCAAAAAGTGTTACATTAGGTCAAGCCGTAAGCAAAATATTGGTCATTAATTTATCAAACGTGTATAGGTATTGGCGACACCGTTATTTTATTTTATACGAATTAATATTATTGCGTGAATTCCAAACAAGATTTCAAGAGTAAAATGGTTGACAAATAAATAAATCCCAATGTTTTTACTTGTGAAATTATAGTGTGTTCTTTGTTTGCTAATAGCCTGGTCCATTATTGGATTAAAAAGCTAAATGTGTTTACCTATTTATAGGTAGGTCTTTCTGCTTATCTAGACGTTATGTTAGATATTACATAAGTACCTATTTCTCTTTAAGAAGTGTCTAGAACAGTTAATTGTACGTGCTTATGCGGTTTTAATAAAATGGGAAACCACATTATGTTATCTAGAAAATTAATAATATATAAATGATAGTCTATTTAGTAGTTAAAGGTTTATTAATAGCTTCACTCTCTCAAATTAGACATCGATTAAAAATATATTATTATTTTGATGTTATACCTAACGGCACACGACGCTGTCAAATATTTAAATTTGCTATTTTGAAAGAGCAGAACATGGACATATATATTACAAGTCAAATTATTCACAAGCCTTTAAATTGATA